TGCACCAATTTTGTTCGCACAATTTGATCGCATAATTTTCAATTTCTTTGTTATGTCTAGCAATCTTCCTTCTCAGATTGCGGTTCCATTTTTTCCTCTTTAGTCTGCGCTCCATACCGTGTTTTGCCTCCCACATGTGAAGCAGTTTGCTATCAGCAACCTCAGGGGCATTGTCCCCTTCAAGTGTCTTTGTGGCCTCCCCAACGTGACGCTTGAGGATCTCCGTCCATTTCTCTATGTTTGTGATCCTCCCAGTGGCAGCTTTCTCTCGTTTATTCCTAAATAATTCCCATTCGGTAATCCTCGGTTGACGCGCACAACGCGTCTTCACTCCTTTTTTAATGATCGAGGCCAGAATAAAATGGTCGCTGCCGAAATTTTGCTCCGAATTTTGCCCCGTCAGGTCTGTCACATTTTTGGAGAATGTCAGGTCAGGGGAGGTGTCTGCGCACACGCTGTTACCCACCCTGGATGGACTACTAGGGTCGGTGTGTAGTGTGAGTCCCAGCTCATGCGCATCCTCCCATAACTGCCTGCCTTTAGGATCTTGTTTAGCGTAACCCCATTACCGGTGCGCCGCATTAAAGTCACCAACTATTAGCAAGGGGTTGGTGCCGGCTGCCTTAATCGCTTTACGGAAGAGGGCCCTGAATGCCACCTTTTTCTGCTTTGGGGTACTATACAAATTTAAGAGGAAGACGCTCGGTTCCTCCTTTCGTCCCGTAAGTATTTCCAATAGCACTGCCTCAATTTCTTTCGAGTTTATTTCGTGCTCAATAGCTGCGATATTCCTCTTAATCAACGTTGTGACGCGAGATTTCTCACCCCTGTCACTTGAAAAAGCTTGGTATCCTGAGAGTTTTGCTATTTTGCCCGTCTCCTGCAGGGCTATCACTAGCGGTTTCTCATCTAATAGCGTCAGATATTGTTGCACTAACGCCCGCTTGCGTTGGAAGCCGCGACAGTTCCACTGCCAGATTAACAACTCACTTCGTGCGCCTCTGGTCAGTTTGGAGCGGGTCGAATTTTTCCTCAGCTTTTTGTTGCCGTTCTCCGATGGCAACTAATTCTGCCCTTTGCTTTTGAACTTCACCCGTAAGGGCTTGTATCTGGCTTTGAGTTTGACTTATTGCTCCCATAATTTGGGCCATGAAAGAATCGAATTTGGCTTCGATTTTGGCTTCTAATTTTTTCTCCAGTGCCACCAACGGATCAGCGTCTTCCCCTTTGCGTTTCGGTGGAGGCGGTCTAGCCAATTCTAAAATCATCTTTTCCTCCCCTGGTACCGCATGCTGCGTGGAAGTCTCAGCCCTAGAGGCCGGGGGGGTTGGTTGCAGTACCAATTTTGGTTGAACTCTGGGGGGGGAGGGGGACCCCGTACACTCCTGCAATCTTGGTTTCTGTAACTCTTGAGTGAGCTTATTAACGACCTCTTTAAGCTCCCCAACCTCTTTCCTTAATTTATCGATCTCCTCGTCCTTCTTATTTTTTGCCTGGGAAACCTCACTGCCAAAGCTTACACCTTTTCGATCCCTGCTCGGGCTCCGCTTCTTTGTCCACGCGTTCGCCGGGACCCGGGAACTCGATCTCCCCCCGGGTCTGGATCCGGAGTGCGCCCTGGTGCGGGAGCTCGAGCGGTTGCGCTGCTGCTTCCCCCCGGTGGTCTCCCCCAGCCTCGGGAAGGAGTCGCTTCTGGCGCGAAAGTCCTCGTTTCCGCGCCCGACCTTGGAACGACCTCGGAGATTCCCCTCGGTGGTCGCTCCGGCTTGCTGCTTTTTCTGAAGTTGCTGATGCTGTTGCATGTTGATCTTGCGTTCCCATATCTTCCTCTTCACCTCGTAAGGAACACGATAGAGTTCTCTACATTTTTTGTCACCGAGCGGGTGTCCTCTCCCGCACAGTTGGCACTTGGACTCGCATAAATGGTTTTGTGGCGGTTTCTCCATGCCACAGCCACGGCATTTCACATTTCCGGGGTCCGGGCAGACGTCTTCGCGGTGCCCGAGCCGGCCGCAGGCGTTACAAACCTCGTACTTCTTGCGGTAGAGTACGCAGCGTTGCGCCACGGGCGTGAGTCGCACCCAGCGCGGTACCTCTCTGTCTTCGAAGAGTATTAAAACTGTCCTCGATACTCTTCCGAGTCTTCGCACTCCTAGGACCGGAGGATTCCCGTAGATTTGCAGCCTTTTCAAAATATCTTCGTCCGAGAAGGACAAAGGGACTTCATGAACGACGCCTTTCCCGCAGTCCTCCGGCATAGCGATGTACGTAGTCATTTCTATTTTTTCCCCTTCAAACATGAGGAGCTTCAAGTCGGCGCATTTTCTCTTCCTCTGCGCTGACGGTGGCGACGAGAATGGAATGTTGCTTCACGTTCATCAAGATGACGTCCTCCCCGGCCGCGTCTGGGCTGACACCAGCAGCCCTAAGTATTACGTCGGCCAAATACGCACTTCCGTACTTCATCATACGTGTGAGACCGCCGTGCGGCCTCATGACTATTTTGTCGGCGCCGTCCGGAACTCGGGCAAACTGCCTTTCAACCGATTTTGCCGCCAGCTTCCTCCCTGCGAGCTTCTCGGCGGCTCGCTGCCGTTCCATATGGCGTGCCTCGTTGTCCACTAGGGGGGCCGCTTTTCCTTTCTTCTTACTAACGTACCATTGTCCTGGCACGTTCAACTCTTCCGGATCAATCTCCGTACCTTCCACGGTCTCCATCATGGCTAGATCAGTCTCCGAGCGGAGCCTCAGCCGCCGCCGACGACTTCTGGCCGGTGGGTCTAAGCTTAGGCTTAGCTCACGACATGGCTCGTCGAACACTTCGGAGCCTCGAAATTCGTGAAAAACAAGGGCCCACCTTGAAACAAAAATGATGATAGTCTAGATGTCCGTTCGTCACGGGCTGTTGATTCCAGTTAAAATTTTAAAAAAATACCCGGTGTCCAAAATCAGAGGAGCATAGGCGAGACACGTCCACACTCCATCCAATCTTCCTCTCTCACTCAGATGGCTAAGGTGAAACGTGACGTCACGTGTGGAATGAAAGTTATTAAAAAACGTGGCATGTAATGCGAGGTAAAGGTCGCCACAGGTCTCAAATGATTTCACTTAATAAAGTTATTCATTTGCCTTAAAACATATTAACGAGCGTTAGGAGGGATGCGAACCCACGACCCTTCGGTTGCCGGCCAGACACTCTGCTGACTCGGCCACGCAAGGCAGCTGGCGCGTTTGGGGTCCCAAACTCGAGAAGCAGGCGATGAAGGCGTGCGCTCGCCCGGTAGTTTCCTGGACACATAAGTAGACTCAAATGAAGACGCCAGTATCATTAGGCGACGTAAAGAGGATGCATGGGAGTCAGGATGAGGTCCACTTCAACTGAATAAAACGAGTTTTCAGGAGAGCGTTGAAGACATTGCGGTGGCGTCTCACAGCCTTGTCTCGGCAACAACAAAAAGTGTTTTTTTCTTCTTTTTTTTTTTTCTTTTTGACATGTTACACGGATCAGGTGGATTTAACTTTTGGATATTTTGAAAGTTTCGGGCACCGCCATACACATTGCTTTTTCTGGCTCTCAATCTGGCCGTTTCTGGAAAAACTGAAGATTTTATCATTCAGTTAAAACACAGCAAAACGAGGCTTTGAAAATTTAACACGTGCAATTCAATTATTTGTGCCATAAAAACAAACAAAAAGTATTTTAGCTAACATCTGAATCCAAGCTTACTAAAAACTTTCAGTCTTTCCACTTTGGTGAAGAAAGACCAGCGAAGCTGTACCATGGTGGGAATGAAGTAATGGTCGGCCGCAAGTCGGCAAGCCGAGTGCAAAGGCTGGAGAGGTTGCCGCCACCTATGAGCGACGGCGGCAACACCAGACAACTTGAAAGTCGGTTGTCTGGTTGCCGCCGTCTCTCATAGGTGGTGCTAGGTGTCCAGAGTGTTGTGACGACATATGTTTGCAGGCGGACACGGTCCTGGGGAAACTAGCCTTTAACAACTTCGCTGGAAAAAAAAAAAAAAAAGAATCATTAAGTTTTTTGTTTTTTTTCTTTCGGAGCTCCTATTTGAACCCAAAATGGCGTCCTTCAGTGTTCGTATTTTAGTGCAAAATGGGAGCATATTATTAAGTTTCAAATTCAAATTCAAATTCTTTATTGATCCCTGAATGAGAGAAAGGGGGAAGAGAAAAAAAGATAACCGAAACGCTGCTCGACTAGAACAGGGAAAAACAAACATAAACGTGAAAAAGTTTTAAGCGCCCACCTATATTTGTGTGGTACGCGACCATTTTTTTTACAATGTTTTCTTGTTGTTTAATAACTGCGTTTGTTTTAACTTGTATGCAAATTCCTGAAATTCCAAGCATAATACCAGTGAAAATAAAATTACTTTTTTTTTCACAAAAAATATTTTCTCGGAATTTAGAGGCGTCTTTATCCAAATGAAGTTTTTCGTACATATCCCCGACATGAAGAAATTGCCGCGTCTCCTTTGGTACAGAATAACCCAAAAGCGAGTATGACGCCGTCCTTAAATCTGAAGCAGTCCCAGAAAAGCTGTAGCCATAGGCGTAGACTGGGGTGGGGGGGGGGGGGGGGGGGGGGGGGGGGTTTCGTGCCCCCCCCCCCCTTGTTGAAATCTGGTAAGGGGGCGGGGCTTAGCGCCCCCCCCCCCCCCGCCCCGGGCCCGGACCATGATTCTTACAGAGACGCTGTTGACGTGCCATGCAACAAGCTTCTAGTAAAAATAACGCCCACATTGCCTTTATTGACAAAATACATGGGAAATGGAATCCCAGCGTGCTTTCGTTAGCTTCAATCTCCAGTTCTGGCAAGAAAGGAATGCGCAGCACCTCCGGGAAAATGGAAAGTCTACGCCACTGGCTGTAGCGGTGCGATTGCTTTCAGACGTCACGTTTCTTCTTCCAGCAATAGGAGTGCAGATGAGATACAAGGAGCAGGGACAACACTCGACACCGAACACCAGGCGATAAGTGCGCGCCGCTCAAGTTCAACGCGAGACGGGGACCCGTTGGAAACACAACTTCCAAGACCACGTGGGGTGACTCAAAAGTACACGGCCTAAACTTGACGTGCATAGTTTCGGATTCTCGTATCTGGAAGGGCGAACGCGGATGCCGCCCAAGATACATGCTCGAGTTGCACACAGTTCGGAATTGAATTCAGGCTTTCTTCTCGGCAAGAATGGCGTACTGGAGGTGGGCTTTGTTGCCGGTGAGTACTTGAGCTTTGTTCTTGCTTTCCTGCCACAAATGCAGGGCGCAGCGAGTTCTTCTGAGCAGCTTGTAACAGTTTCGTAGCCAATGAACTTTCGGCCCCCTAAGATTGAAGCGTAAACACCCACCCTTCATTTCTTGAGCTATCAGCGATTATCGCGAGTAGCTATATCCCATCACTATGACGTCATACTGTCCTAGCTCCTCCTTTAGTCACTGAAAACTTTAAAAAACACTGCAAGGAAAAAGATTTTTTAAGGGAATAGATGGGACATATTTTTTAATAATTTTGTTACGGGAGAAAATTAGTTCTTCCACTATATTTACGCCGTTAGACGCAATTTAGGTGCAAAAGGTGGAGTTCGCAGCACGCTAAGCCCCGCCCTGTGCTTACAAGGTGCGTACATCTCTCATTGGCTGGAGAGATGATTGACGTGTGAAAGGTTGCTCGTAAATTTGTATCTCCGTGCCGTAATAGTATTTTAATCGATTGAGTTATGTTTTGACGTAGAGCTACGTCTTTCTCGTCGCTTGGAAGGGGGTGCAAAGCTGGGAGGTCACGAAAACTTGGTCACGGAAGTGACACCGCCGAGAACCGCGCAGTGCGCATGCGCGTCTTTTCTCATCAGCTGGCGCGCTCGTTTGTTGTCTTCAACGCGACACGCTCCTGTCTGATTGGAACGGGGATAGATTCCACAATCTTCGCTCATCGCTCTGGACAGGGGCCGAGCTCAAGTGCTCCGCGGCACGGGCAGCTCACGCGACTCTCTCGCACGACTCGGCGAAGCGTTAACCCCCTTCTCATGGTTTGTGTCACCTAAAGCCACTTGATCCCGCGAGGGTAGCGCCAAGCTCCCCGCATGGTCGCCATTTTGGCCTCGGCTTCTCCGTTCTCGGTGGGCCGATCTAAATTCTCTGCTGACGCTTTATGGAGACCTTTCTTGTATACCGAGATTTCGCTATCCATCCCCACACCGGCGAAACAAGCGTACATCTTGGTACCAGATGCGGTGCCGGTGCTTGGAGGCACCGAAAAAGAATCTTCTTCTCTTCCGGTACAAAATATCATTGTAAGAGATTCGTGGAGATGGATGCGAGTGGTAAGTTGATTGCGCACACAGTGCCAAAGGAGCTTATGTTGGCGACCGCCTGGCAGTGCGATGCTCTATTGCGATCTTGGTGCGACTGGTTTAGAACGACCCTCTCGAAGCGTATATGAAGGGTCCGAAATGGCGATTACCATGACAACGGACAACGACCAGCCAATCACCTTGCGAGGTTTTGGTCGTCTGTATTGTCTGTATCTGTTTGTGTCCGGCTAGCAGGCAGAAAGGGTCCAGTGACTTCAGTGCCATCCTCACGTAGCTCTACAAACATTTATGCAGCACAGTACACCTATGCACCGACCAGTTTTCATGTTTGAGAAGCAAATAACCGAGATAGAGTTACTATTGTTTTTTTTAAACTGTGACTGCTTCTTCCGCTTTGGTTTGAAACGTTAACAAACATGGCTGCCTGCCGGCGTCTGCGGAGTGCTGAAGGGGCGAAGCATGTGGACGTCGTCAATTTTGACGAGTCCGAGTGGTTTTGAGTTTACGGAGGTGTTTAGAGGAAGATCTCTTCGACTGGCGTAGTTTGCAACAAACAACTGCCGCAAGTAGGCACCTTCGGAACCGCTGTGCAGATGCGTGTTCTCGTATCGGTACTAGCCTAAGCCTAGCGTTAAAAAGCGCAAACAAAACAAGGAAAATAAAGGCACAAGGACGACAGGACGTGCGCTAACTCACAACTGATTTTATTAGAAAAACATCGTCACTTTTTGAATCAGTATGAACCCACTCGGTCAAACCCCAGTTTTGATCCAGATGCACTATTTTGATCGATCTGGCTCGATTTCTTTCTTTGTACGTGTTGACGCTGAATGGAGATGTTGGTTCCAATAAAAGCGGCACCGCTGCTCTGTGAATTTTGCAACCGTCGTGATTGCGACCACGGTTCGAATACCGAGAAAAGACCTACACAAGTAAGAACTTGCGAGCCATTTGGTTGGAGGCAGTTGGGGTGTTCGACTCGCATCAAGTTTTCCTAGGAATCTTCCTCTCGTTGCGCATCGAAAGGCACAGTCCACTTGAGGGCTATGTGCTTATACGTTGCTTGCTTTTATGTAAATCGTTTCTTTCTCGTGAATGTTTCATTTTGACAATATTTGTTCTGTACTCAAACTCCAGGTGTGTGGATACCTCCACGTATTTTATTGTACCTTACATGTAGACGTTTTGCAGCAACTGTGCATGGGCGCCGCCATAACTGACCTTCAGTTTTTGTTTCCTCTTATTTCGTTTATTTCACTTCATAATTACCGTAGAAGGCCAGGTTATTGCCATATTAGATTCAACTGTGTCCTTTTCTAAAGCATCGGCTTTTGTAGAGGGTCGTCAACTACCGTTTCAGTTGCTCAGCATCTCGGTAAGACAAGAGAAGGTCAGCAATGGCGACTGTAATTTCGCGCGTGTGTAAAGCGTCTATAGGAGGTATTCACAGGACGCCATATTTGAGGGCGGTGTTTAGAGCGCATGCTCAGAACGAGCTCACATTAATAGCCTGCTAAGACCGGCAACCTTGGTGGTGCTAAATGCACGCTCCAAAAGGACTGCGGAAGCTCGCCGTCGGCACGCGCTCAGCAGCAGCGCACACGGATATGGCCGCCAGTGAATACTCCCTATTAATTCATACGTGTCTTCTTTGGCGACGTGCGCGACCGAAAGCGTCGCTGTGGTCGGCCTTCCACGATTGGCCCAAAAGCTGACTATGACGTCGGAAAGGGTATACCATCGACGGAAATAAGAGGAATGAAAGAACTTTAGTTTTGACGGTGTTGGCAGTGTTGCTTTGAGAGCGCAATGATTTCAAGCTTCCACCACGCTATTTACAAACACCATTGAACTTGTTGTTTGCAAGGTAATGACGTCACAAGGGGGAACCATAGGAGGGCGCAACCAAAACATCTCGCCGCAAATTTGTTCGTAACCGGCTGAGGTCTCGTTAAACCCAAAATGTTGAACGAGCAGTCAAAAACCGAGTTGAAAAACACTATTTACGGGGTGCTAAAGAGGAAGCTAAATTCCGTTTGCTCGCATATTTCTGAAGAACGTGCGCATTGGCTCGTAGCAAACGCTCCTCAACTCAACTGATTACTGCAAAAGACGAAGTTGCTTAACAACTTCGTCTTTAGCCACAGCGACACTTACTGCTTAACTAAAAAAGGGGTGTGCGCTCATTCTGTTTAGGCGAATTGTGTTGTTTTATTTTATTATTGTACCGTGCTTTTTACGTGCAAGGCCACCGGACCTAGTCAAGGTTCCTATTGGAATCTTATTGTCCCCTAGACACAAATCTGTAGTAGTTCGAAATATGTAAAAATAGGTCTTGATTTCGATTGTCGAATTTGAGCTGTTGACTTTTTCTGTTTCGTTTCAGCTGTGCTTGTGCGTCGCGGGGTTGGCCGGCAGTAACAGGCAGAACCGAGTGAGTACATTGTTGTCGACACTTACGGTGGAACGCAGCTAATGCTACGAGCCATCCAAGCGAATACAGCGCTTTCAACGCCCTCCAGAAGGTCACGTGACACGGCCTTGGAACAGAGTTACGGGCTTTAGTTGAGCTAGGGTGCCTCAATGTCCTTCTGTTTAGGGTGATGCCACCCTTTATTGGCGACGTGCGCGACCGAAAGCGTCGCTGTGGTCGGCCTTCCACGATTGGCCCAAAAGCTGACTATGACGTCGGAAAGGGTATGCCATCGACGGAAATAAGAGGAATGAAAGAAATTTAATTTCGACGGTGTTGGCAGTGTTGCTTTGAGAGTGCAATGATTTCAGGCTTCCACCATGCTATTTACAAACACCATCGAACTTGTTGTTCGCAAGGTAATGACGTCACAAGGGGGAACCATAGGAGGGCGCCACCAAAACATCTCGCCGCTTTTAGCGGCGAGATGTTTTGGTGGCGCCCTCCTACGGTTCCCCCTTGTGACGTCATTACCTTGCGAATAACAAGTTCGATGGTGTTTGTAAATAGCATGGTGGAAGCCTGAAATCATTGCGCTCTCAAAGCAACACTGCCAACACCGTCGAAATTAAAGTTCTTTCATTCCTCTTATTTCCGTCGATGGTATACCCTTTCCGACGTCATAGTCAGCTTTCGGGCCAATCGTGGAAGGCCGACCACAGCGACGCTTTCGGTCGCGCACGTCGCCAATAGTATACGATGCCGACAGCACGCGCTCACGGGGAAAATACAAAGAAATCGACGAAAACAAAATGTCGCCATAGCACAGTCAGCGCCACAAACGCGTGCAGGGACACGCTCTTTCACGCGCTTCTGAACAAAAAAGAAAAATAAACGTGTGGGACAAAATGGCGAGATGTCTCCACCCTAGGGTGCCTCTCCACCCTAAGCAGAGCGAACATGAAGGCACCCTAAGTTGAGCTAGTTGGTGCATACTGCTGGCCATCGGGTCAACTGAACATGAAGAAACGAGAACACAGGAAGAAGGACTCGACAAACACACTGTTTGGATGCTGTAAGGATCGTCGCACTCTACCAGGGACAGCTGTTTTGCCAAACAAGGACGAGACATGAGCCTGCCATGTTGCCCTTTGCGATACAATGGCCCGAAAGGCGTTTTTTCTCGGTGAAGAGCGCACAAGGATGGCTCAACTTTTCGTTCCGTTGTATAGGAAAGGGCACATGGCAGGCCCATGTGTTGTCCTTTTAAGCGAAACAGCTGTCCCTGGTACAGTGCAACGATCCTAACAGGATCCAAAACTCAGAATGTATTGGTTATCTACAAAAGCATGGATCGTGTGTCGTCTCTGCCCTGTCAGTCGACATCCAGGTCATGTATTACTCAATGCCACACGGTCCTCTTGCTGATTCTTTGAGCAGCCATTGAACAGCAAGGAACAACAACATTCTAAAACGCGGCTGGGAATCCCCGTGGATACCTTGATGGGCCACCACGATAGTGGTGGGCCATCAAGGCCAAAACTACGTGCGAAAAAACGTCGTCTGTTTTGGGTCTCGGTTCGGTCCTTTGTTCCTGCTGGCAGTATCCGGCAGGAACATCTAAGAAAACCTGAATGGCACTCGGGTGAAGGCCATATATAGGTATGTTGATGACTTGTTGGTGTTATGCGACACTGAGGTAGCAGATCCGGGGAACGGATGTGAAAAGATGGCTTTGTCGTGTCTCCAAAAAAGTTGCCCGGAATCTTCTTTTACCCACAAACTACCACTGGATAAGTCAATCAAGTTTCTGGACCTCCTTTTGGGGTTCACAGCAAGTCACGTCTGTTGACGGTACGAACCCTGATTATGTAACGGGTTTCTTCCCTACGAGTCAAATCATTCGAAGAGTGCCAAAGCGCTGCCCATAGTGCTGTTGTCTCTGCGCTAAGCAAGTTAAAACATGTGTTAAGAAACAAATCACCCGACTACGCGACTCTGCCTACCGCAGTGCTCTTATGGGAGGGGTATGTGAGAGTAACTCCAAGGAAGAGCGTAAAGCAGCAGGCGGCGAGGAAGAGGTGAATCCGCCAACGCGATGCCCCTTGCAAAAATGATAAATGAGTTTCGATTGAGTTTCTAATATATTCCTATAGAGTCAATTGAAACTCAATATAAACTCAACGTTTAATGAGTTTGAAATAAGAAACTCAATATTGACTCTGTTAAATTTACTCACTAGGAATGCAATTGAGTTTGGTCATAAAAAACTCAATATCAATTTTATTGAATTTACTTATTAGGAATGCAATTAAGTATGGTCATTAAGAACTCAATATGTATTTTTTTTATTTACTCCTTAGGAATGCATTTAAGATCGGTCATAAGAAACTCAATATTGATTTTATTGAATGTACTCATTAGAAATGCATTTGAGTTTGGTCATAAAAATGCAACTATATTCTTTTGAATTTACTCATCCAGAAAGTGATTGAGTTTGCTCATTATGAACTCGATATATATTATTTAGAATTTACTCATTGAGAATTCAATTGTGTTTGCTAATTTAGACTTCAGTATCCATTCATTTGAATTTACTCATTAGATATGCAAACGAGTGTGGATTTAGCGACTGCACCGAACGAGCATTCCCTGTATCAATTTTCTTTTTATTAAGGGATGGGGTCTAATGACGTCGAAACATTGTTTATAATTTATCAGACTTCCGAGGAGGGGATAGCATACAGGGAACCTTAATAAATGATGAGGTGGTCACCGGCCAAATGAATACCTTTCATATGCAGGGTATATAAGGCGGTGGAGCAGTCAAGGGGAGTGTGATTAGTGTGTTGTGAGTGCTTTATGATGTTTTGATACGTTTCCTTAAAAGTGCACTAAAGACCTTTCTGGGATCGTCTGTTCTAGATAATAACTCATTCTACGGGCTCCAAACATCATTGAAATCCAAAACATTATGCTTGTGCGAAAACTATTTCCCTACTAAAAATATGATAGAAGTTTGTGCCACACCCTTTTCTGAGTGGGAAAATCTGAAACACAGATTCCAGATGAGGCGCCGGAGCAGATTTTCCCGCTCCGAAAGGGGTGTGGCACAAACTTCTATCCCATTTTTTGTAGGGAAATAGACGTCGCACAAGCATGTTTTGGATTTCAAGAATGTTTGGAGCCCGTAAGATAAGTTATCACCGAGAACAGACGATCTCAGAAACGTCTTCAGTGCCCCTTCAATGTGCTTCATTTCCTCCATGTTCCATGCATTAAGAAATTATAATATAAAAAATTCCCCTCACGTTGTTGCAGGATTTACTTTAAGCGCAGTTGCAAAGAAACTTCTATTGAAACACAGTTGCAAACATTCTTTTGTAATTCAACTGCAAAAATTCAATTGAAACACTATTGCCAAAAATTTAATGAAAATGCAATTGCTGAAATTTAATTAAACGCAGTGGCCAATACCCTGTGACGGTTCAATAGGACTCCAAGGCGAAAAAACAACTATTGAGTTTCGATTGAGACTCAACGCGGTGTATTGGGTGAATGCTGCACACTTTCACTTGAAACTCTTTTCATTTTTTTTTTTTTTTCTAATGGGAAAAATTGCAGTTTGTACCCTAGACGCATAGAGTGACCCACAGACTAAGTTCGCAGGCAGGCAAAATATCCAGGTTGTTTTGTGCGGCACCGAACAAAGCATACTCCAGGGGCCGCAGGGTCAACGAAGGACTTTACCAAAAGGAGGACATATGTGCCACAGCCCATAGAACACACTATGCCCCACGCCTATCATATTCCCCTCTCTTGTGGGAATAGCTTCATCGGTCACACTGGCCGATGTATAAACGAAAGGGAACAAGGAGCGTCTGTGAGGAGTACATCAGCGGGACGTCTGTCAGCCCATGGCCGGACCTGTGGATCTCACGCAGAGCTCACCAGCGTAACCGTCCCTCGTACGAACAAGAACTCCTTCGCACGTGAAGCGCTGGAGGCCTCGGCCATTGAAGAAACGGGAAAAGATTTCGTGAGCACCTCTTCGATTACGGTTCACGAAAAAGAACGACGATATGCGCGGTTTGCCACACCCCGTTGAGGGGCAGGCCAAAGGTTTCGAATCGTGCTTAGTGTGCCGTATAGAGGAAGAAGAAGGTGCCTAGGCTGGGGGGAAGATGATCAAGTAAAAGTCAGTTGTCAGCAGCGCTCTATTAGCAGTGCACGTTTGTCCAATCCTTTTTGGTGTGTGTTCTCGTTTTTCTGGTGTACATCTGGCCCGATGGCAAACGGCCTTCGATTGGCGTCGACGGCTCGTAACGTCCCCTGCGGCCCATCGGAAGGTGAAACGGTGCTTACCCCTCGGGAGGAAACTTTCCAGTGTGGACTCATGCGCTCTGCCACGTCGTACACTTCTCCACTGGCCCAAAGAACTACGCTTTGCAACATTTCATAGTTGTTGTTTTTTCTCGTTTTTGCTCTCTTCGCTCAACAACGGCCGCTCAATTTTCAGCAGTAACGATTCAGCGGACGTGCGTCAGCGTAGTTTAGCTTTTGTAAAATCGGCTTTTCGGGAACTTGTTATTTTTAGAAGTTCGCTTGTGTGTGTGTGTGTGGGGGGGGGGGGGGGGTGCGTATGTGTGTGCGTGCATGCGCGTGTGTGTGTCTGCGGGCGTGAGCGCGTGTTCGTGCGTGCGTGTGCATATATTTGTGTGTGTCCGTGTTTGCGCGTGTGTATGAAACGCAGGAAAGGTGTATGTTTACAACACGCGACCTATTGTGTTTCGGTGAACATATTTCCGTATTGTATCGTAACGATCGTGTTGGTAAAGGATGGATGTGTAACACAAACACTTAAAATCGATGATTTGCAACGCGCTCCTGACGATTATACTCAGTTGGGTGGCCCGAAACTTAAGGCTTCTCCAGTGCTTTTGTATTTTTCATTGCCTTGCCACTTCTCTTGAATATCAATACTATGGGAGAACGTTCGCTTCCGCGGGAAAACGTGTTTC